CTACTACTACTACTACTACTACTACTACTACTACTACTACTACTACTACTACTACTACTACTACATGTCAGACAATGTCAGCATGTCTTTGATTCACATCTCTGGCAACAAGAACAGGGCGAATGGACGATGATGACCCCAGTACCAAAGTCTTTTGTTGAGCTGTTTGATGAAGTTTGACTCGCTGCTGTAGACCTCCAGATCAAATGAGCAACAGTTGCAAGGTAGGACCTCATCTCAAAGCGAATCAGTTGCATAAGTCATAAGACCCACACAAAGACCATGTCACCGGATGCGTTTCCTGAAACTCGACATTCTCAAGTCTCCCCTCGTTCTTTTCCAGGGTCCTGCTCTCAGTAGTTGAGAATGAGACTATAGCTGCATTCACAAAGACACCCTGTTTCTCAGGGTCAGCTCCGGTCACTCCGAAGAAACACTTAGAAGGGTTGGATTCTGGTGCAGAAACCACAGAACCCCCACGCACACCGCCTCTGGACGCAGAGACATCTTCCGGGCTGTTGCGGTTCTCGGTTCGCCTCATGTGAAACAGACGCCCTTAGAATTCGATCGAAAGCATCGTTTGGATGCTTGGACCTTTTTCGCCACAATGTTCCTTCATGTTCCTTCCACTTCCACCGTGGATGCGCCCCCGGCGCAGGGCTGCTCGCACCCATCGGCCTCATCATGAGCTTTGATGATCAGCAACGGACTTTGTGGCTCGCCCTTTGCAGCATACTTTGATCTGAATTCTCGTTGAAGGTACAGTAGCCCCCCCAAACCGAATTCCAACGACTCCAACCTCAACTGACCTCCTTTTCGCTGCCACATCCGTAGATCAAGCTCCGCTTGACTCCACTTGGCAAGATCAACGAGTGAACTAAAGAATGAGTTTGGTCAACCTGTCACATTCCAGACATGTTTTTCATCAACCACGTCCATGTCGCTCTCGTCGCCAGGTCCGGCGGCCGACGACAACGCTCGCGCTGTCCGGTCCAAAAAGTGGACGGCGCCGTCGGCCCATGCGATGTCGAAGGTTTAGAGTCTCTCAGTCAAAGTGACTTGCATTGCAGGTTGCACCGGTGGCAGGTAACTAGTTGCATGTGTCTGTGTGTGTGTGTTTGTGTGTGTCTCCCCCTGTTCCGAAGGATTCTCTTCCGCTTCCCTTTCCTTTCCTTTCAAAATTGCAGGGGGGCTAGCGACCCATCTCTCGACGCTAGCCAACGCAGCTAGAGAAATGGGTGGATGAGTCTGTGGACGCACAGACTTGTACCTGCAAAGAAACTGTTGCTCACGCTGTCCACTCGTTTGTTTGCTTTCATGGTCCTTGCATGATAGACCCCAAAACCGGTTTTCCCTCCGCAGCTTTCAGCAGCCGTCATGCAGCCGCGTTTCTGCAGACAAGTGTTCAACAATTTCAGTTGTGCTGACCGCTTCACCTTGCGTTTTCCTCATCCGTTTCTTCGTGGAACTGAGTTCGCGGAAAACCCATTGTCTAAGTGTGTGCCGCTCTGCCGTCCCACTTGGGTGCAGGGTGTGATCTCTCGCAAGGGAGCGCTGAAACCATTGGTTATCACGTTCGACTTAGTGCTTTTTCTGCACGCGTTGGAATATCACTAACTGATTGAGTGTCTACCCATGAATCTACTGCCACAACACTGCCGAGTTTACGGAGATTACCAGCCGCCGGGCTTTACGGTATGTCCTTTTTGCCACGTTTTGCTGCAGAGCATCAGCGGTTCAAGCTTTGTTTCAGCGATTCACCAGCTGAGCAGCTAGTCCATCTTTATGTCCAAAAAAGACACGCAGCAACTGACTGCAAACGGGTTTTGGAACGACAAAGAAAGTTGACCGTAACTCTTCTTCGGAGCGCCGCGAAGCGGCCACGTGTTCTGTGTCTCCCCCTGTTCCGAAGGGTTCTCTTCCGCTTCCCTTTCCTTTCAAAATTGCAGAGGGCTAGCAACCCATTTCTCGACGCTAGCCAACGAAGCTAGAGAAATGGGTGGATGAGTCTGTGGACGCACAGACTTGTACCTGCAAAGAAACTGTTGCTCACGCTGTCCACACGTTTGTTTGCTTTCATGGTCCTTGCATGATAGACCCCAAAACCGGTTTTCCCTCCGCAGCTTTCAGTAGCCGTCATGCAGCCGCGTTTCTGCAGACAAGTGAGCAAATTGTTCAACAATTTCAGTTGTGCTGACCGCTTCACCTTGCGTTTCCCTCATCCATTTCTTCGTGAAACGGAGTTCACGGAATACCCATTGTCTAAGTGTGTTTCAAGTCAAGTGACTTGCGGGTTGCAGCATATTACGTATTTGTGTTGTTGAGCATCTCCAATTGTCTGGCTCCAGAACAGTGGTTTGGTGGTTGGGGTAGGTGGGGGGGTTGGCCCTACCTTCTGAGGATGTGGGCGAGGAACCAAAGGGTGTTGCAACTAAAGGCACCATTCGACTGTACACGCAAAGATACCACACTTAAACTACAAAAAGCTACGAATTCTGTGGACTCCTTAGAGTTCTACTACACGCGACGCATAGATCTCACCCGCCCACAAAAAGACCCCAAGAGACTGGGCTTGACATACGGCGGGTATCCTCTAGGTTATGTAGATGTAAGACAAAGAAGGCAGAGTGACCTAGTGGTGTATTACCAGCTGAGACCAAGTCACGAAAGGTAGCGGTTACGCTACCTGAGTTTTCCTTTTGCTTTAGCAAAAATGTATTATACCCAGAGCTGGAGCCTATCTCACTGAGAAATGGTCCCCAACATCTTCGTTTGCTGGCCGGGGGGCCCCCCCCCCCCTTTTCAACTCCACCCTGGCGCGCCTCGGGGTCAACGGTTCGAAAACACTGTAAATACCAGTGTTTTCAGCTCTTATCATGGAATTTACAGCGTTTTTTGCGGCTGTCCGGCAAAAACACCGCAAAAACCGATGGTTTTTGATGCGTCTCGGTTAGAAAAATGACCGAAAAAAGACCAAAAACCAGTAAAGATTTTGTCGGAAAGGGTTTTTGAAGCTTTTGGAGGCTTCAAAATTGCACAAAACTATGGTATTTACAGGGTTTTGTGCACCTTCCCGGCAGAAAACGCCGGTATTTACACGGTTTTCTGCGCTTTTCCAGCACACACAACCGTGGTGCGCCTCTGGATCGACGGCTACAAAACACCGTAAATACCAGTGTTTTCAGCTGACCTTGCCGCGGCTGTGGATCGACGGCAACAAAACCCCGTAAATACCAGTGTTTTTGAGCTCGTCCTGTTTGCAAGCATGGCCTGCGGCCACGCAATTTACAGGGTCGCAGCACGTCACTATGTAAATCCGAAGTTGCATTTGAGAAATATGTGACTCCTTTTGAAGGCACGTCAACCTGTATTGAAACCGAAGCTCCGAGCAGTGCTGATGCGAAAAAGACGTTTGTGCATTAGTTTTTCTTTCATCACGCTCAGTGACTTCTCTTCAAACAAGTGGGGGGCCTCTCACCTCCTCCCGGATTACGCCTGATTCCCTGCTACCTTTCGTTCACCCCCCCTCCTCTCTCAAGTGTATATCACAGCAAACACACATTAAGAACGTCTTGACCAAATCAATTTCAAGACGAAACCGCATCTCAACTAGGGAGCTTTGTTCATTCACAAGAGTATAAGAGTCTAGAATGCACATCAAGGGACTTATTTTGTTTAATGGTATTTTTTCGGACTGAATCCAAGAAGTATGTCGATCAAAGTCACATTCAAAGATCTTGTCAGACTCGGCCACTACGGGCTTCGCTGAGTCTGACTAGGGAACGCTTCAAGACCGGACGACCTAATGACAGACAGGACGCCTAGAAAGGCCGTGCACGTTCTTTCCAAGCCGATGCAAAAGACTTGTGCAACCTGGTTGTGTTTTTCCGCCGGAATCAGAGAAGTGATTTGTCGTCATGGTGGTCAGAATCTGCTATATTTGCCTGAAAGCATAATAAGACCGTTTTAAAAGCAAACCACACTAGCTTTGCAATAGCACCACTTGCTTGGCTGAGAAAATCAAATGGTCCTTTGAACCTTTGTCAGTATGTTGATAATCTGCTAGCACAGGGAGTTGGTATCCTTCTGAAGGAGGTATCCTTCTGAAGGAGAGACACCTGAAGCAACAATCCTCTTGTTGATAAATCTTGGAGCACGCCTGTCGAAACACGGAGGCCTCTGCTACAAAATGTTGGCAGATCATGCACTTGGAGAGTTTTTATTGATTGTATTCCTCAAAGAATCTTAACCTTCCTCCAAGACAAGGATTTCGAATCCACGATTCCTTCTACTTGGCAGTCAGTGATTGGCCGTCTTCCTTTGAGTGATTGGAGATTGGATCCAGCCAAGGGGTTGCCACTTGGGGATCGCAGGTGCGGCTGGCACAAAGAGCTCCACGGAGCTTCTCGCCCACACCTGCGGCTCGCCTCAGAGGGCGGAAAGCCAGGAATGCCTTCTCGAGTTCCATGGGGGGCCATGAGTTTTGCATGATCCACTTGGGGTCTAAAAGCAACTCTTTGTGGTTGTTTATGTTTATGCTTGTTTGTTTGTTGTTTGTTTGTGTTTGTTTGTTTGTTTGTTTGGTTGGTTGGTTGGTTGGTTTGTTTGGGTTTAAGGGTTCCAGATGGTTCCTAGCCAGCACTTTCCATTGATAGCTGTTTCAAGCGATGCACAACCGTCCAGGCCCGTCCAGGCGGTGGGTTTCGCCGTTGTTTCCACTCTCATGTTGGGATCAGAACCCCAAAACACATGGTTTTCGGATGGTTTCGTCTAGATTTTTGTATGGTAAAGACGGGTTTCAAAACTCATACACTAAAAGATAGATAACAGTTAAACCACTTGACCTCGGCTTGAAAAGCGCTGCTAGGGTCAAGAGGTGGGTAAACCATGTAATGGGTATATACGGTATATATATAGGTCTAACGGGGAGGTCACCAGTGGTTCTATAAGGACTCAAAGTGTGAAGCAAAAAAACACATAGAAACCCTTGGTTCCATGGTGGTAGCTGACAAGCCACCGGGAAGGGAAAACCAAACAACCATGGAAGGATCCCTAGATTGGAGTGTTGCCAAAAACCATCGCTCCGAGTATCTCCTGTGGCTTATCCAGCACGCGGCTCCGATGTTGGGATGGTCGGCAGGGTGAACGGTTCGGATCTTCCTGTCGGCGGAATCGGTACGTTCACGCATTGAATCGGCTATTGGGTGGGTAGTTGGAGCATGAGCACCGTATAGCACAGGAGTGTTTGCACATGTTTTCACACGGGTGTCGTAGATGTTTTGGGACGCGTCATTTTGTTGAAAGGACACCTTATATATAAAGTAATTACTTGGAGGGTCACAGGCACGTTGCAAGTAGTACCATTGAAGTCTGTTCAGGTGCGGTTGTGAAGTTGCATTCTCAAATACACCCAGTGCGATGTTTTAATGCTTGAATTTGAAGTGTTCTTCTCCGCAAGTGACATGAGATGGAACATGATGGAACATTTGCTCACCTACAAGTCTTGAACCAGACACACCTGTGTCGAAAGATTGAAAGCACCCGTCATGATGTATCGAATGGATGTCCTGCAACAAAGCTTTTCTGGTTGCAGTTGCTTCATTTTTTAGACTCAGTACGAGACTCTGCAAATAAATGCAAACCAGATCGTGGAGGTAAAGGTTCTTTCTGGTATCAATGGCAGTTTTGATCGTGG